TCGATTGTAAATTTTGTTAGTTTATAAATACAAAAGACTATGTATTAAAAAAGAAAAAAATATTATGTCTTAGGCTTTTTAAATTATTATTTATCGTTTTGTCTTGAATACTTTATATCGTTTTAAAAAAACATATATTAAAAGGACTCCTATTTTTTAATTCGCCTCGAGCGCCTACAACCCTAAGCACGACACTGAATTAGTAGCGTCTAAACTTTTGGTTTAATTTACAATAATATCCAATTCAACGTTTCAGCTTTTTCCTTTAAAGTATTTTTTCAACAGAACTTTAATTTTCCGCAAAACTAACAATAAAAAGGTCTTATTGATTTTATGTTGTGGTAATTGCAAAAATATCTCTTAGTGTATCCATTTTCAAAAATGTCACTTGTTCATTTTTAAAATTCCACTAATTAAAAATTTTTAAACCCTAAGTTTAAAAATTTTAAACCTAAAAAAGGTTTTGACCCCTAACAAACCCTAAACCCTCAAAACTAAACCCTAATACAATATAGTTAACCTAAACATAAATGATATATTGAGTAAATAATTTTGAAAAATGGCATTTTTGCAAAGATTTTTAAAAAGTGGTATTTTTGAGAAATGGCATTTTTCAAAAATTCTCTTTTATGTTTTCCATATTATATCACACAAATAAAAATAAGGTCTGATTGATTTTACGTTTTCCATATTATATCACACAAATAAAAAAAAGGAGGACTGAAATTCCATTACTCGAAAAGTAAAAAAAAAATTCCATTACTCATCTGTGTGTTTTAATTTTTAATTTTTTTTAAGAGGAGATTTGGAAAATACCTTAAAAAAAAGTTTAAATATTTAAAACTACATCTTATTTTAATTTTTTTTGAAAACTACACTTTCTTTTAGATAAAATTACTGAATTATCCTTACTAATGAATTATAATTACTTTAATACCTACATTAAGTTTTAATTAATAAAACACGTTATTTGTCATTTTTTAAAGAAAAAAATCGACAATTATTGGTTGTAAACACTTGATTTTTCCTTTTTAAATGATAACTCTTAGTCTTA